TTTATTTCCTTCTTCCCCTTTTCCCCTTAAACATGTTTGGTATCTGAGTAGCCAGACCTGACAGACTAACAGACCGACGAGACTTTTAACTAAGCAAAGGTCCACAGCACCGCTCTGATGAACAATGACGAACAGTAACAAAAATTAATTTTATTTTTGGTTCCTGGGCAATCTGACAACATGTTTCAATCTCGGAATCTTTAGAAGTCACAGGTTCGAATTATTGTACCTGTCATATCATTCAACCCGCGAAAATTATGTAGATCAGATATTCTCTAGTATAAAGACATGTTCATTTCCTCCGATCCATTTTTGTTAGTTACCTACATTTCGCCCGTATCAAAGGAATGATAAACGAACTGCAACAGTAACGCTGCAAAAATTGGTTAATCTGCACTGAGTCCTCCTAGATCATCCACGTTACAGCCCAGACCTGTCACCATCTGATCTTTATACGTTTGGGCCACTCAAAGGGCCCCTTGGTAGCCAGTACCTTACAACCAACGAGGAGCTCGAAGACTCAGTTCGTGTACAATTTGTTCGACGGGTGTCCAGATTTCTTATATGATGATGGTCCAAACATCTGCTACAATGTTGGTAGAAGTGTGTAAATAAGAAGAGGGACTAATAATAATGAATGTTCTGGAAAAGTTTTCCATTCTTATTTGACCCACCTCCGTTTAAGTAAGGCTGTCTATATCGGAGTGACATAACAATCCTTAAGATTGAGAAAGACTCATTTTTATGTGCCCGAAACAGTTCTCTCCAATCGCTGGCAAATAAAGAAGATGAATTCTTATAGATCCCATCACAATCTATGACTTCAGATTAATTTACTTGAAAGGTTTTGTATGTGGTTTTGCGTTCTTTCGCGGGTATTTTACTAGACTAAAGAATTTCGAGGTTGAGTCTTCATACCTTAATGCACTTTCTGTTCTCTTCTGCGTGTCAGCTTGGCAAATAAGTAAAACCACATATGTTTGAAATCCCTTTTACTGGTGATGAAGTTCCGCATGGGTATTACGTATCTTGAAAAGTGACATTATGTCGATTTTTTTTGACATTGTCAAGTCATCGTTGGTTGTCAAAGCGGTCCGTGGGACCTTTGCTCTTGAGTCACAGTGTCTGAAAGTCTGTCAGGTCTGGTAACCCAGAAACCAGACAATTTTAAGGATTGACATTGTATTGCTTTGTTGTGACATTATGCAGGTTTTTCTGCAAGATGTTAACTTAGCACTAGCTAATGGACACTTTGTGAACCCGTAGTTGTAGTATTGCCTAAACGTCATGAGGCTTCAGTTATCAATATCCTTCTTTGATGTGATGTAAAATCTGCTTCAGAGATGGTATTACTGGTGGCAACGGCAATGCATAGGTGCATAGTGAGGATTTGTGTGCTAATAATATGTGTTGATGACAAAGCTTGAAATTAGTTTCGCATCCACTTTTTCTTATCCATCCCGGAAATTACATATGCCAATTTTGCTGAATTTTAAAAATGAGAGAGATAAGAAATAATTATATTCACTGTACACTGTCGCATTACAAGTCATATACATGCTAACAGTAATTATACACAACGCGGGTGCGGTGGTGATTTCCAGTAATATGCCTCAAAGTTTTTGAAAACACAAAAAAACGTGAAAAATCGTAATTGATAACATGTTTTCCGAAAGGACAACATATACCTGTAAATAACCAGTTGGGCACATCTAATAGATATACTTCATTGGCAGCATATTCAGTAATGGTTTTCTCACACTGCAAATATCACTGATTTTATACACGCTTGCAGACCAATACACAAAACACAGGTCTAATAAAAAAAAATTGTTTGGTACCACTAATTCTATGTTATAATTCGGTTAATTAGCCCGCAAGATATCGTGCAAAGCTGTCAAAATCTTGAAGCTACGTTCAGGTTTGTATCGATCTAAAAATATATGTTGTTATACTTAATGGCATTATAATCGATTAATTCATTTTTTTTTAATTAATAATATCAATATGCCGTCATCGAGAAGATGTTGTATAAATAATCTAAAGACATTTTGTTACATTTGTGATGAATATGTAGTGAGAAAGTTCAAAAAACATTTAATAGATTCAGTAAGGAAGACATACGTTGATCACTTTAATATAGAGATGAAGGCTCTGAACAAACCGTGGGTTCCAAACATTGTGTGCAACTTGTGTAGTGAATATTTAAGACACTGGGTAAACGGTAAACGAAAATTACAAAGAGGTAGTTCAAAACCTCTTAATTAGCTTAAAAAACTCTTGAATGTATTATGAGCATAAAAGCACACTATCTGGACAATCATTTAGACAAGTTTGCTGGAAATCTTTTAGCGTATAGAGAAGAACAAGGAGAACGTTTCCATCAAGATTTAAGGGTGATGGAAGATAGATACCAAGATCGCTGATGGCAGATTACTGTTAAAGTATTACACGGGAGACATCCATCGGAGAAAATCTAAAAACAGAAACTTCTAATCTGTAAAATAATGTGTAATTAAATGTAATCAAATGTCTTGAATGAAATGTTTTGTTTTTCAATAAATTATTTTTAATGTATGCACCCTTGCGAAATCTCGAAGACCACACGTAGGATTAAAAAAGTATCAAGTTGTTATCAGGGTACCATAGATGACGCTCACGGCGGTCATAGCGAGCAAACGTGGAATGAACTATTTGTACCCTAAAAACTACCTAGTCTGCAAAATGACATTTTATTGTCTTTTTGACGTTTCATAGGTTTTTTACATAATACTCAAGCCGGCCACAACGTACAATTGACAGTTCTGACAATATATTTTGAATATCTGCCTTTTAGGTGGTACTCCGTTTGTCTTTTCTTTCATTTTCATATTCCTATAGTATACTAAGTGACATATAAATCCGAACATCCAGTTTAAATGGTTTTATTTTAATAAAATTTTGTATAAGTACTTAATGAAGCATAATAAGTAAATGATAAAAATTTCAAAATGATTGCACTGCTTTAAAGCCCTTTGACCTTTAATAATGTGTGGATGCACCCTGATGTGCTACGCATCCTCCAACGCGCCTAGGCATGCTTCTGATCAGGTGGTCAATGTCCTCCTGTGGTATCTCATTCCAGGCAACCACCAACTCCTCTCGAAGTGCTTCTAGAGTCTGAGGAGGACGTTGCAAATTGAGCAATCTCCTACCCATCATATCCCACACGTGCTCAATTGGGGATAAGTCGGGAGATCTTGGTGGCCATCGTAACAATGTGACATCATTATGTTGAAAGAAGTCTATTGGGACTCTTGCAACATGTGGTCGGGCATTATCTTGTTGGAAAGTTGGATCTGCCAGGGTGTCAAGATAGGGTAAAAGATGGGGTTCTAGAACTTCGTGGATATAACGCTGCGCGTTCATGTTACCTCTGATGAAGATTAAAGGTGACCTGGAACTATAAGCTATATCATCCCAAACCATAACTCCAACAGTGTGATGAACATGTCTTTCAACAAAAAACTGTGGATTCCTCCTTTCACCACATCGCCTTCTAACCCTGGCACGACCATCGTGCATGCCTAAACAAAATCGAGACTCGTCACTAAAGACAATACTGTTCCATTCCTGATCCCAGAGTGACCGTTGTCTGCACCACTCAAGCGATTACGTCGGTGTTCTCGAGTTAAAAGGAGGACCCAGTGTGGCCGGTATGAAAACAAGCCAAATTTCTCATTCGTCGGTAAACACTTCGCATGCCAATAGATCTTCCGAGTTCTGCAAACCATTCATTTGCAATGGACCTGGTAGTGGAGAAACGGTCCCTCAAGGCCAATAATCTTAGTCGGCGATCTTCACGGTCTGTTGTTCTACGGCGGCGTCCAGTGCCGCTTGCTCTTTGCGTACGGCCTTCTCGAAGCCATGCCTGACAACACCTAACCACAGTGTCTACACTTCTTTGCACTCTAACTGCAATTGCCTGAAAAGAAAGTCCAGCTTCCCGAAGTCCCACTATACGGCCCCTATCAAACTCACTGAGTTGACGAAATCGTACAGGTCTCCGTACTCTAGGCATCGTAACCGATCGTAAAGGATGTCAAGAACCAAAATCCGCCAACGTTGATTCTTTACTGCGGCTGAAATATTCATTTTTAGAGCGTTAGTGAATTAAAAAAAAAAACAGTATAAAAACCGGAATGTCCAACTGATAAGGCTGAAAATTTTTTCACTTGTTATTTACAGTAAGATAAATACATTCACCAACTTTTATTAAAATAAAACCATTTAAACTGGGAGTTCGGATTTATATGTCACTTACTATATAAATTATTATTATATTCCTGTAGTATTACTACAGTACGGTCCTGTAACATGCTGAGATACGTCTACTTCAGTTCACCTTTTGTAATCTTGCTTCTGTTGCAAATCTGTAGAGACGGCAAATCTTGCACTGGGTCGATCCGTTGTAACAGAACAGCGCAGCAAGAGCCGTAACTGACTTCACGAAGTTTTATGGTGATTCCGACAACAGCCGCGGTTGGTTTTATTCGCACAACATGCTTCCAAGTATTTACCATCCAGCAATAAAACCTGGAAACTTTATTACCTGCGCCGATGACGATCCACGAGAACAATGTCTTAATCAGATAAAATCTTCATTCTTGTCGTTAGTGAACGTGATAGTTTAGTTACTCCTTAAGTTAAAACTATATAACACTGTAACGGTAATTTCTCATGGAATGATCATTCCGTTTCTCAGCGGCAGCCCTTTCAACCATGAAGGCATGACATAAACACTGATCTACCTTTAGTGCTATAGAGAAGCTTGTACGAGTTTTGTACAGCTGAGATCAGTAGCTGGAAAAAGAATCTATTTGTATCTTGTGCCACAATTTATTACCGGCGATCTTGTCGATTTAAAGGGGCTTTTGAGTTAGTTCAAGTGATTAGTTAGATCGTCCTGCTGCTACTACAATTATTGATAATCGATTATTATTAGCTTAATTCTCTTTCAGATCTCCCAGTTCCTTAATAAAATTCATTCGGTGTTCTTTACCACAAAGATACAGGAAATGGGAAACGGGCAAGGTTTTTTGTGCATAATGCAGGAAAATAACAAGTACAGCTCAACAACAACCCGACTACACTGCATAGAGTTGAAAGCATACGAGCATATTCAAATCTGAGGATAATGATGTTCCAAATAAGATCGGAATCCTTGTAAGCCACACAGAAGTTTTTGCCTTTCTGTATCAATAGAACTGTGAGTACATACGACAGCATCGATCGTCTTGGCTTAATTGTAAACGCAATGAACCGATACTATAATCAAAGGCAAGCATAGCTTGGACGTAAAGGGGTGTCCAAAGAGAATACAACAATAAAATGTACCATTTTGGTTGTTGAAAAATTCTTACAGGGAAGGTGCTACATATTACTTATTCAAAATATAATAATGAATACAGGGTGACTTTGAAGTTGAGTCATTAATTTTCAGATAATGATTGTAGAAGGAAGATAAACCAAAATGTGTGTAAAAATAAAAAAAAAATAAAAAAAAAATGTTTACCTTGTTTTATAAAGTATCCTCCCGACAAGTATTTCAGTGCGGACCTGTATTTGATCGTGAGGTCTTGGAGCACCGGCATGCAGTCCCCATGTGAGGTTTTAAGGCTCCTGATTCACGAGCCCGTTGTACTACATTAACAAAGGCACGAGGGGTTGGTTGCACTCGATTGGGAAACCGATCCGCATAAACATGTGCCATTTTTTATTTCGTTTGAGCCACGAAACAGACACCATATTCACTCACTGACTGTGTACAACTGAATGAAATAATTGTAAAAACATCGTTCCAAATTCTTTCGCTTTTTTGTTTCCGATGCGATGAACCGATAAGGCGGATTATATCCGTTGTCGCCAAACACGAGCACATAATATTATTATTGAGACAGGGCGGTACTCAAACTTCCAAAGGGCTATAACTTTGTTACTTTAATTTTACCAGAAAAATGGTAAAGGAAAAAAACATTTCTTTTGATCAGATCTACTCACTGTTAAAATAAATGACTCAACTTCAAAAAAATGATAAGAGTATAGAGAAGTTTAGCCATGGCTAAACAACATGAATAAGTAGCTGTAAGAAATACGTTAATAATGGAGTAAATATAGAATATGAACATATACAAAGAATACAAACGATAGCTATCGTTCGGCAATATGAATTTGTCACTCAATGTGCTGAGCCCAAAAAGTGCAACTTGTCTTCTTGAAGCTCTGTAAACTTAGCTCTTAGAGTTAGCTGGTAAAGAATTGTATAACTTGACTGCATTATAAGTAAAGGACCTCTTAAAAACTGACGTACGATGTATAGGAATGGAAAGTAGATCACCGTAACGCAGACTTAGTGTAATTTGTTTTCCACGAGAAATCAACTTATCGAGTAAATAGATGGGCTTACCAGTTTTAGAAATTCTATGTACCAATGAAGCCACGGAATAACTGTATAGACCATCAACTCTGAGGAACTGTAACTCCTTGATTTTGGAAGAAATGATACTATATTTTCTAAGACCAAATATGAATCTGCAACAGTTGCTCTGAAGCTGCTGCAATTTTGGCTGGCAAATTGAGTCTAGGCATGGGTAAGTGAGTAAGCTGAAATTGACAATATCAGGTTTTCGCAAAACTTTTGCGGCACTTAAAGTTTTGAATATGGTGACCAGAATATCAGAGCTTCATCTTCATATAAGTCGACTTCATAATACGATTCACATGTATGTTAAATCCAAGATTTAAATCAAATATAACACCTAGATTCTTAGGCATTATCAAGAAATGGAATATTAATGTCGTTGATAAATAAGGAGACTCGATTTGTGATATTGTAATTTGAATATTTAGGTCAATATGGTATCGCGGTACATTTTGATGGATTGATGCGGACACAGTGCCTATTACAATACGTCAATACGTTATCAAGATCAAGATCTAGGTTCATTTTTTACGATGCTTCATGTAAGTTGGATTCATTAAAACGATATGTTAGTTGTATATCGTCAGCTTACATTTGAATGTAACAATGTTCTACACATTCATCCAGATCAAACGTGTTTTTTATAAAAGAGGTCCCAGTATTGGACCCTGTGGGTCCGATCAGTTAGGCAGGTTCTGAAAAAATTTAAAGGAACTTCTGACATGCCATAATATTGTAGCTTACTCAAAAGAATCTCATGAATGACCGTATCGAAAGCTTGGGAAAAATCAAGCATGACCAACAGCGTGCTGGATTTGACCTTAACGAAAACCAGATTGGTGTACCGGAAAGAAATATGTGCATAAAATATTATTAAATCATGGAAGAAGTGTCCTATATTGTTTATTAATGAATATGTTTAAGAATAAACAGAAGGTGCATGCTAATTACAATGGAACGTTCTTTAATCCAAGAACGTCTGTTGTGACAAGTGAAATTATGTGTATTTCTAACACTGTTCCAGCGGGATGAGCTTCAAGAGATTTTTTGCAGAGTTTTTTGTAAAGCTACCTGGAATTACAGCTGCATGAAGCTGCTATACTGTTATTAAGCGCACACAATGAAACCAATACTGGTCATGTTTGTACCTTGGGTAGCAAATCACAACAATGTGCTATTCCGTTCCTTAACTCCACACTGTGCTAAGAGATGGCTCAATACTAGTTCAGGCAACACTAACGATCATGATATAAACATAGTCATTGATGTTGCTTTGAATAGTTATGAAAAAAGAATAGTTGTCTATTAACAGTAATGACCTTGTTAGCTTGAATATTTATTCAAATAGATTATTTTGTTTTAATTTATGTATTCTATATTTTAGGTATATATATATTCGAAAAATAAACGAAGATATTTTAGAAGATGATCTTGTTAAAAAACTTGAAAAAAAAATTTTTATAAACATGGGTCCGGAAATGCAGAGATTTCAAGAACCAGGGTGATAAATTTTTCTTTACTGATATCTTGAAACATTTTTACTTTGGCAATATTATTTGTTGTATTAAAAGGCTAATTCAGCCCTTAATAGATTGAAATTATTAGGACCAGTGGCGTCCTGAGGGGCATATTAGCGAATATTATGGGCAAAAAAATGTACCTTTTTTGTAACTTTAATATTTGTTGTTTGATTAAGCCGCTAAAAATACATCTTCTTTGTCTCTTGTATTGTTTCGTATCTCACTTCGTTTTCGACAAACAAAAAACATTTTATTGCATATCACTGGATAAAATTGGTTTATTAATTTTTGCTTGTGCCTTGGAAAACACTAATAAAAAAAATTTGCCTCTTAATACAACAAATAATATTGCCAAATTTCAACAGAATCGAGAAAATATTTTTTTAAATGTTAATAAAAAAATTAACTTTATCACCACGTATCTTGAAAACTCTGCATCTCCGAACACATGTTTGTAAAAATCTTTTTCATATTTTTTACTAAGGAACCACCTGAAATATATCCGTCTATTTTTCGAGCACCCTATAGATTCAGTTAAAATAAGCACAAAAACAATAAAATAATATATATATATATATATATACATATATATATATATATACATATAACTAAAACCTTATATACCCGTAGGTGTAAGGTGCAATCACATTATTTCATCATCATATTTCATCACATTATTTCATTTTCTAAACTAATTAGTTATTATATATACTAAGTGACATATAAATCCGAACACCCAGTTTAAATGGTTTTATTTTAATAAAATTTGTATAAGTACTTAATGAAGCATAATAAGCAAATGATAAAAATTTCAAAATGATTGCACTGCTTTAAAGCCCTTTGACCTTTAATAATGTCTGGATGCACCCTGATGTGCTACGCATTCTCCAACGCGCCTAGGCATGCTTCTGATCAGGTGGTCAATGTCCTCCTGTGGTATCTCATTCCAGGCAACCACCAACTCCTCTCGAAGTGCTTCTAGAGTCTGAGGAGGACGTTGTAAATTGAGCAATCTCCTACCCATCATATCCCACACGTGCTCAATTGGGGATAAGTCGGGAGATCTTGGTGGCCATGATAACAATGTGACATCATTATGTTGAAATAGGTCTATTGTGACTCTTGCAACATGTAGTCGGGCATTATCTTGTTGGAAAGTTGGATCTGCCAGGGTGTCAAGATAGGGTAAAAGATGGGGTTCTAGAACTGGATATAACGCTGCGCGTTCATGTTACCTCTGATGAAGATTAAAGGTGACCTGGAACCATAAGCTATAGCACCCCAAACCATAACTCCAACAGTGTGATAAACATGTCTTTCAACAAAAAACTGTGGATTCCTCCTTTCACCACGTCGCCTTCTAACCCTGGCACGACCATCGTGCATGCCTAAACAAAATCGAGACTCGTCACTAAAGACAATACTGTTCCATTCCTGATCCCAGAGTGACCGTTGTCTGCACCACTCAAGGCGATTACGTCGGTGTTCTCGAGTTAAAAGGAGGACCCAGTGTGGCCGGTATGAAAACAAGCCAAAACTTCTCATTCGTCGGTAAACACTTCGCATGCCAATAGGTCTTCCGTGTTCTGCAAACCATTCATTTGCAATGGACCTGGTTGTGGAGAAACGGTCCCGTAAGGCCAATAATCTTAGACGGCGATCTTCACGGTCTGTTGTTCTACGGCGGCGTCCAGTGCCCCTTGCTCTTTGCGTACGGCCTTCTCGAAGCCATGCCTGACAACACCTAACCACAGTGTCTACACTTCTTTGCACTCTAACTGCAATTGCCCGAAAAGAAAGTCCAGCTTTCCGAAGTCCCACTATACGGCCCCTATCAAACTCACTAAGTTGACGAAATCGTACAGGTCTCCGTACTCTAGGCATCGTAACAGATCGTAAAGGATGTCAAGAACCAAAATCCGCCATCGTTGATTCTTTACTGCGGCTGAAATATTCATTTTTAGAGAGCGTTAGTGAATTAAAAAAAAGCAGTATAAAACCGGAATGTCCAACTGATAAGGCTGAAAATTTTTTCACTTGTTATTTACAGTAAGATAAATACATTCACCAACTTTTATTAAAATAAAACCATTTAAACTGGGTGTTCGGATTTATATGTCACTTAGTGTACAAATTTAGCCCAGTCTTTCTTATTTCTCGCCGGGCGCACTGCTTCGTTCCAACTTATTCC